GTGGAGGCGTCACTATCCTCCCCGTCATCGGAGACTCTAAAGTTTTCTATCTCCTCGAGCTCGGACTCTAACCTACGAGCTAAGTCCTCATCGGATCCTAAGTTGCTGCTAAAAGAGGACAACATGGCAACTACGTTCGAAAGAGAAAGTGAGGGAAGAGACCGACCTACCAAGGGTTCGAGCTGCCTTCAGGTCCAACTCCAAGAATTCGGGGAACGTAAGGTATGACCTGAAGGATTGGGGGCATTTATAGCCCGTCGGAAGAATTTCCCCACCGTACACGTGTAATCAACGAGCGGCTAGGATCCTCCCTAAGATCCGAAGCGTCAGAATATTTGAATATTCCGACGATAAATCTTCCGCGACGGTTATATTTTCCCACGAATAGGAAGTCGCCACGCGTCCAAAGCAAATCGAATGAACTTCTCTGCCAGGTCGAGATCGGACCAGACAGAGAGGGGGCCAATGTTTGGGGAAGAGAATACCCTGGACACGTGGAGGACCCCTATTGGTGCTCCAAGATGACTCATGAGTCATGCCCAGCTCGGACGGCCGAGATCACCACTACTAGCGTTGACAGATGCTAAGTATGAGGGCCGAGGTGAACCTGGCCGAGGTCCGACCTACCGGGAAGCTCGGTGGGGGCCGATGCGGACTACTGTCAGCGGCATGATTATCGGGCATAATCGTCGGTCCCAAAAGTACCGGGTGTAACCGACGATCCCGAGATTACCGGGTGTAACCGTTGCGAGATTAGCGGGACTACCACCCATAAGTAGAGGACTTCACTTCACGATCAGGTACGATGATTTCTGGCCTCGAACTAAACTGGGAATCCGACCTATACTGACTTGATCGTCGGAGTGCTCACCTTTTTGTGCAGGTCCGCCCAAGGATTCAGATCGGTCCGGAGGCCGAGTTCGAGCTGCAATCTGGAATACACTGTTGTGCATATCCTTGCATAAACATCTTTTAAGTTACCTAACATATACTCTATAAGATTTGTGGTATGTTTATCATCCACAGTGCTGAACAAAGAAAGAAAAAACCAAAACTTGATTTAATTAAAAGAAATATATATAACCCGACGTATACTCTATATCTCTAAAAATATACCCAACATATATTTATTCTTTGAAAAAAGAAACTCTACGGAATCGAGTTTGAAGAGGTTCGAGCTTGTTGGTATGATGTTGAGATAGGGTGGATAAAACGAATTTGACTTCGATCGAGTGTGGTGTTTATGCAAAAAATGTGACAGGGTATGACCTAGTCAAGGTCGGCCACAGGGAAGGGCTCGACCTACTCCAAGTATGACCGTCGGGAGAGCATGACCTGCTTTTCAGGTATGACTGCGGGAAGACCATGACCTGCTTCAGGTATGACCGAGGGAAGAGCTTGGGTATCCTTGGAAAGGGATGACCAGCTCAAAAGGTCAAGGTCGGCTGACTGGGATGAGCTGGTGTCCGGAATGAGCTGAAAGGCCACTTGGCGAGGAAAGACCTGCACAAGGGAACAAACACTCCGACGCTGAAGTCAGTTTTGAGTYCGAYYTTAGTATGGAGSCCGAGCTAGAATACCATACCTGACTGAAGAGTGAAGTGCCCTATTTATAGGTTGAGGYACCCGACAAGGAATCCGACCAGCGGTTGAGCATGTYGGGACCAAGGTCGGCCTGTCGGGAGTAGCTATTCCAGTTCATACTCTTGTCATMTGRAATTTGRCTAAGTATGGAAGGTTGTTCCTCCCATGAATGATCTTYAGGGAAGACCTTCAGATCGRCCTTTAGGGAAGGCCTCAGGTYGRCCATTAGGCAAGGCCTTCAGGTCGGYCCTCAAGGGAGCTCTTCAGGTCGGCCYTCAGTGGAGCTCTTCAGGTCGACCCTCAGTGGAGCTYTTTAGGTCGGCCACTTCAGGTCGRCCACCAAAAGGAAGATCTTCAGGTCGGCCTCTTCAGGTCGGCCACCAAAGGGAAGACCTCCAAAGTTGGACATTTTTTCTGTCCTCCACGTGGCAGTACGATTTTCAACCCCCAAA